TGACAAATAGGCAAGTACAGATACTTTACCCTCCCTTTTTTCCTTCAATGCTAGAGTTGGCCTTGTCACTGAACCTAAAACTCATTTAAATGCTCACCTTCGTCATCAGCCCCAGGGAGCAAAACTTCTGTAAATTGCTTCCAACTATTTCATTTTCTGAGAGCTTGCAAAGTTAATTTGTATTTCTCTTCCTTTTCTCAGCACAACTTAACAAACACAGGAGGACTGGTAAACATTTCAAGAAAATAATCCAAATTTGCAAAACAGATGAGTTCAGGGTGATTGTTTTCACTATCAAAGGTTTTCTGCTTTTTGCAAAAGAAATCACTGCCACTTTCTGTGCAGTGAATATGCACTGAAATATGCCTAAATCCAAACTTTTTGTTTAAGGAATTTTAGAAACGACTCTCCAATATCCAGGCACACCTGTGAATTTACATTAAGTAATACATCATCTCTATTTATCATTTAAGCTTTCTCTATAATACCTCAGAGGGAAGGTTTTATGTAAATTTAGCTAACTGGAATGACAAAGCTCAAGGTAAAAAAAAAAAGCCTGAAAACGTTCTTTCTTCCCTGATCTTCTGCACAAGGAAAGTAACTGAAGTGGCACTTAATTAAATTAAATTTGCTAAACATTTACTTAGCACCTGCTCTGTTTCAAGTAGGCAGTGCACAGGCACTGGGGATACAAAGGATGTAAAGGGTGCAGCCAGCCGCCTTCAAGGAGCTCACCACCAAGCTGGAAAAAGGTCATAGGGATCAATAACCAAGACACGGTATGAGACACATGGGAAGTGAGGAAGGACTGACAATGAGCCCACGTTTCCAGCCTGTGCAGCAGACAGGTAGATGACAGAGTGGCTAAAGAGACCGCCAGGGGGCTAACATGACTTCCTGCTATCAGAACAGGCTCAGGGATGGGATCAGCAGTTAGCGTAATGGCTATGTCGATGGATTCCCATTTAGCCGACCGTGGTTCAAGTTTCAGACCCAATGGCTTAAACTCATGCCGGGAGTGTCCCCAAGATCCGGAGAGGAGAATGGAGGAGAAAGGATTGTGGTGTGGCCATACCCCTGGGAGGTGATTTCTGCCTTTCAGTCTCTCTCTTTCTGGTGAGTGCACGCGGCCTATAGCAAAAACCTCTCCCCCCCAAAAAAACAAAACAAAACAAAAACAACAAACAGGCTCAGGGCACCTGCATGGGTATGGGTATGGGTGTGTGTGTGTGTGTGTGTGTTTGAGAGAGAGACAATCTAAACATTCTGATTACCATCGTGTTAGGTGCCTGTCCTCTTTATCTCACACAAGGAGCCATCGCTCTCTTGCCCACCCTTTCCTTCTTCCAGGAAGTTCTTTCTTCCAGCTTCAGATCTTAAGATGAGCAGAGTCTACCGACAGACACACCTTTAAAGGGTCAGGCAGACAACATCGGAGTAGAGCAGGTTATGGGTTGCACAGTGGGAATCAGAGTATCCAAGTTCTAAATGGGAAAGGTGAGCGTGGTCACAAAGGATAGTACCTCCCTGACCAATCAATTACCAAGGGATCTGCAAGAAATTCATGGAAAATGTGTCTTATGGAAAAAAATGCAAGAATTTCAAAGTTTTTTGTACCAAAATAGAAGACTTGAATAAATTTTCAGGGAAAAATAGAATTAAAATACGAGTTTATTTTGGTGTAAAAATAATTTGAAATCCATGCTGTTTTTTTACAGTACACATTTTCTAATCTCTTGAAGATCTCTCATATTAAAGAAATGCAATTCAATGTTTATTAACTTAATTTGTATAGAGAAGTTAAGTCAGACTTCCTTAGTGAAAATGTCCAATTTTTAAATGTAAGTAACTAACTTAATAAAGGCATTGTGATCTGGCCGACAGCGCCAGTCTGGCCCTGCTCTGCTGTAAGCCTCACGACATCCAGGGAAGAGGGTACTACTACTTACAGACGATCAAGACAAGGTGTAGAGGGCAAAGGTCTCGCTAAAGGTCACCCTACCAGAAAGCGACAGAATAATATTTCTAATTCAGAGATGTCTTATTTGAAAGCAGATGCAGATTATCTGTTAGTTTCAATTATTAGTTTTAATTTCCAACTACCTGAAGTTTGGGAGCAGCCTTCAGAGTCCAATACTAAGGCATCTCCTAGTTATGTTCTCCTGGACATGCATTCTCTGGTCTAAGGACATGTGATTCTGGCTATCAGAGTCCTAGAAGCCAGCAGCTCTGAGAGCCCAGGTTCCCATTTAGGAAGCTACTTGAGGATGTACACCCCAAATGACACCAAGAGGCAGCCAAGTCAGGAAGACCTGTGGAGACTGTCACACATCACAGGCTTTGTTAAATGCCAGGTCTTCCGTCTTTGAGTCCAGAAACCCTCTGGTGAATGTTCTTATAATTCCCAGGCTTGTGGAGAATGGCTTCTTATAAAGCTATGCAAAATAGGGGAGGACTCGGGTACAACTTCCTCTCACACAAACTGCCAACCAATTCTCATTTCTAGAGCCGTCCACACTTCTGTTCTCAAGCCTCCTGGAAATCTCCCAAGTTTTAGTTTGTTTTCAGTTCGAGGTGTCAATTCTTAGCTATCACTCTTCGCAGGCACTTAGCTTTCCCAGACTGCTCAGTCAGTTACCATTTGTTCACCTGCCTTTGGGCACCCAAATGTTGTCGACAGCTCTCTCTGCTATCACTTCCTGTGTTATTCTCTTTGTATTTATGGATTTATTTATTTATATATTTACTTTTGGAGAGGTTTTTGCTATAGGGTGTGTGAGCTTGCCAGAAAGCAAGAAATCACCCCCCAGGGTGGATGGCCATGCCACAATCCCTTCTTCTCCATTCTCCTCTTGGGATCTTGGGCACGCACACACACGTGCCCGGCCTGAGTTTAAGCCACCGGGTTCGGGACTCGAACAGTGGTCAACTACATGGGAGTCCAGTGACATAGCCATTATGCCAACTACTGGTCCCTATGGATTTATTCTTTTTATATTCCTTATCATCACTATAGTAGAAGTTGAACAGAATGAAGATTAATGCATATATTTATGATCATCTTTTATCAAAGGCTCCCAACCTCCACTTTCAAAATGATATAGGAGGTGTAAACAGCATGGGATAAAGATTAAGATCAGAGAAAGATAAAGAACTTACATTTTTTAAAGAGGTTTTGCCTTAGAGCAGGTGCACTCATTAGAGAGAAAGGGAGAAAGAGAGAGAGAAAGACAGAGACAGGCATGGTGAGAGGGAAAGTAAGAAATTACCCCCACAAAGGGGGATGAACATGCCACAATTTCTTCTCCTCCATTCTCCTCCCAGGATCTTGGGGATGAACACACATGCAAATGGCATGATTTTCAAGCCACTGGGTCTGGGACTTGAACTGCGGTTGGCCATGTGAGAGTCCAGTGATGTAGCCATGACACCATCTGCTGGTCCCAAACTTAGGAAGGTTTTTAGTTTTATTTTCTACTGTCCTGAGTTTCACTTTCTTTCTTTCTTTTTTTCTTCTTTTTTGGGAGAGGTTTTTGCAATAGGGCATGTGTGCTCGCCAGAAAGACAGAGAGAGACAGAGAGACAGAAAGCAAGAAATCACCCCCCGGGAGGATGGCCAAGCCGCAATCCCTTCTCCTCCATTCTCCTCTCAGGATCTTGGGCACACACGCACATGCACCCTGTGTGAGTTTAAGTCACTGGGTCAGGGACTCAAACTGCGGTCAACTACATGGGAATCTAGCAACATAGCCATTACGCCAACTGCTGGTCCCTCTTTCTTTTTTTTTAAAGGTTTTTTGCCATAAGGCATATGTGTTTGTCTGAGAAAGAGAGAGGGAAAATGAGAAATCAGTCCCCAGTTCTCCTTCACTTTCCTCCCAAGATCCTGGACATGCATGCACACACACCTGGCATGATTTTTAAGCTTCTGGGTCTGGAACTTGAACCGTAGTCACCCATGTGGGAGCCCAGCACCTTAACCACCATACCACCTGCTGGGTCCCTTGGTTTCACTTTCTTAAAAAAGGGTTCAAATTCAGGGCCAGCATGTAGCGTGGTGGTTAGGCACTGGACACCCACAGTTCAAGTCCTGGACCCAGTGGCATATATGTGTGTGTGTGCCAAAAATACCAACAGGTTACAGAAATGGAGAATAGATTATGGTGTGATCATGCCCCACAGGGGGTGCTTTCTCCCTCTCTCTCTCTAATAACAGTGATGTGTGCTGCTAAGCTGTGTTCTACAGGTTAGAACTACATAGAAGGTCTGGGCTTGATTCCCAGTCCGCTTAGCAGGGTTAAGGCGGCTTGATCCACATAGCCAACTATGTAGTTTGAGTCCAAGACCCAGCAACTTGAAAAACATGCCAGGAGGGCCAGCAGGAGGCGTGGTGGTTGAGGGCACTGGACTCCCACATGGCTGACTGCAGTTCAAGTCGCGGACCTGACGGCTTACTTTCTCACTTCCCCCCTTTCTCTCTGTCTCTCTCTAATCAAATTAAAATGAATGACTGACTGAATGAATGAATAAAGAAAAACATGCCAGGCCCATGTACATGCATGCCCAAAATCCAGAAAATGGATTGTGGCATGGCCATTCCCTCAAGATGTGCTTTCTCTCTTTTCCTCTCTCTGGCAAGCTTTTATATGCTACACATTCTATAGCATATAAAAACAATTAAGTTAAAAAAAAAAAAAAGAAGAGTGAAGAGCTGCTCAGTTTCAGAAGGAAAAGATGGGCTGTTTTGTAGACACCATGAATCTAACACATTGGGAAGTGCCCATGTAGAGGTATTAGCTGAAGTCAGAGCTGCTTCTGCTCAGCAATCTGGAGGCCCTCGATATAAAGCAGCTCTGAGTCACGCGCTGAGGAGTAAGAAGTTGAAGAAATGCATGAAATCATCACACCACAGGGCAGAATGATACGAAAGGCTAGAGCTTAGAAGAGGGAAGAGAAAGCCATCCTGCCAGCCAAGAGCAGAGCTGAGACTTGGCCTTTACCTTTCTTTGTCTTACAAGGTCCACATTCGGGGTGAATGTCTTGTAAGGGAAGAGTCACCACCTTGGCCAGTCCGGCATTCAGCATGTACTGGTATAGACGCTTAAATGTCCTTTCACACAGCCCCTGCAAAAACATGATTTAAAAGCTACTGTTAGGTACAAGCAAGGTGTTTGAAACTACTACAGAGTCACGCAAATGAACACAAGTGCCCAACCTGAATGAACTGATCAGCTTGAATGGGGAACCTCTGACGTGCTGAGGAGGAAAGACCGCCAAGCTATGTCTTCAAGGGGACATAACAAGATCCACAGCAGCTTGATTCTGCCTTTGAAAGAGATTTGCCTGGGACCAGCAGGTGGTCTAGTAGTTAAGGTGCTGGATGCCCACACGACCAACCAACAGTTTGAGTCTTGGACCTGGCAGCTTGAGGTCTTTCCCTCTCTCTCTGGTCAAATTAAAACATAATAATAATAAATAAAATTAAATAATTATTTAAAAAGAAAAGAGATTTGCCTGAAGAATCCCTGAAAGGGTGTACAGTGTAAGAACTTACTGCTTGATACCTTTTCTTTTTTTTAAAAAAAGAATTATTTACTCATTCATTTACTTTTTAAATTTGACCAGAGAGAGAGAAAAAGAGAAGGAAATGAGAAAGCAAGCCACCAGGTCTGGGACTCAAACTGCTGTTGGTCATGTGGGTGCATCCGGCACCTTAACCACCATGCCACCTATTGGAAAGTCCACCCAGTAAGGGTCCAGTGCCTGGACCATCACGCCACCTGCCAGCCCTTAGACCATTAATTATTAAAAAACACACCCCATCCCATAGGCACTAGAACAGAGAAAAGTAGATTAAAAAAGACTTTTTAACAAAATATTTTAAATGTGGCCTATCTATGACATTACAAGAGAATGATAATGAGAACATCCGTCCTATCATACTCCTATTTCTGTCAAGTTGCTCCAACCAAAACAACCCCAAGTATATCCTTGTTGCAGAGGTTACCGATGGGCAGTCTCCAGTGCAAGCCATGCTTTTTCCTCTGCACGGTCTCTTTTTGAAAAGAAATTTACTTGCCAACATTGAAATGTGAGAAATTGCATATTAAAAAAAAAAAAAAAGATTCTGGATTCTTTTCAAGAACCAAGATCTGGCGGTTATAGCTCTTCCCCACAAGTCAGCAGGAGCCAAGGACCAGCTGCTCCCCTTTGTCAGGGCATGCCCGTCTCCCGGGTGCTCTAGCCCTCACGCTCCATCAGACCCTTGGATAAAGACACTGAAGGTCGGCTGCCATGTTTCACTCTTTTTGTACAGCTTTTTTCTAATGGTAGTTAGGAGGAAACTTAATTTCTTTAAACTACACTGCTATCAAAAATGTTTCTAACTTGGCCCATTTTGCACATTTATTTTGCCCTCCTTGCCTCAGCTGCCATTGGACTTGCCACCCCTGACTAGGAAGCCGAGTTGTCACTGTGCTAGGTTACAGACTGAACAATGGGAGACACACGCACCGAAGCGCTGCTCACGGAGTCCTCCAGGTTTCCTTGAACGCTGTGAGGGACAAAAAATAACCTCTGCGGGCTGCTGCGGCCCCCACAAACGTGTGGTTGTCTCTCCAGTAGCCAGCACTCTAGCCGCAGGGTGGCAGGACATACGGCTATCAAACTATACAGATGACTCACATATGGCCCATTCGAAGCCACTGGCTTGTAAATGGCTTCTCTGTTAATCTAGCTGTGCCCCCAGCACCATGGAAAGACCCTCCAGGGAAGCATCCATCAAACCCCAGCCCTTGACATATGGTACTAAGCCCTAGAATTCCCACAGCGAGGGAGGATGACGAAGTCCTGCCTTCTGGGTTCTGCCATCAAGGACTTGCACAATCTGCCCAGCAAAAAGAGAAAGCAGCAGCAGGAGCTGTCCCCCAGAAAAACAGCATCCATATTCATGGATCCACCACCTCGGCAGCTAATTACTCTCTGCTCAGCTCTCTCTGATCCCTGTATGTCAAGGTGCTGGCCAGAGATCCCCAGGAGGAATGTCCCAGATCTTCAGACTCAATAAAAACTAACAACTGAATTTGACATGTACCTCCTCCTTGACCAAACTCACTCCCCTGTCCGAACTCTCAACTGTATTCAAATGCTCATTCAACAAATATTGACTGGGGTCTGCCGTGGCCAAGCGCTGTCCTCACAGTGAGGGTGAGGCAGTGAGCAAACAGGCGCAGTCCTTGCCCTGTGGAGCCCGCCTTGAGTTCCAGCTTAACTCTGTGAGTGGCAGCCACTCAAGCCCCAACAGGGCTTCACCTCGAGATCCTCCTCCTTCATCCACCTACGCCTTCTGGTTCAGTCACCACGTCCTGCTAACAACTCAAGTCTCGTGCGCATCCATCCACCCAGCCTGAGGCAACAGTGATACCTCGACTCCCACCTCCAATCTCCTCTTCACGGGTTCATCTTCCTGAACATTCTTCTCTTGCTGTGCCCTCTCTAAACACACACGGCCACCAGCAGTTCCTAAGGCTGTAGTGTAAAAGCTAAAGGCCCCGCTCCTCGGCCTGGAACTGAGCACCCTTCTGCTCTGGCCCCAGAGGTTCCTTTCTGGCTGCATCTCCAGCACACAGCCACTGACTACTCTCTGGATTATCTTGAAAAACATTCTATAACCTCCCACACAACTGCTGGCCTGGAGGTTCTCCTTGATCTAAAGGCTGTTTCCCTCCGGTGTACTTGAGGGAAAGCCCAGCTCAGTTGTAAACGCTCTCTCCAGCTCTCTAAGAAAGCACCCGTCTCCCTTCACTGAGCTCCGATTCTCCTTGCGAGGTGAGCGCTCACATGCTGCCCCTCCCACCAGACAGCTCCATGACAGCGTGAGACTTGCAATCTACATCCATCTTTGTCATCTTTATATTGTTCTGACTTAGCACAGGCACTCACTTAAGTATTTGCTAAATGAAGACATGTCAGAATTTCCTGTAACGGTCAAATCTTGTTACTTGCATAGTCCATAGCTAACCTGAGATGGGCTTAGTTCCATCTTCCTGTCATGAGTGACTCAGTAGGCAGAGGGCTTCCAGCTGCATGTGCTGGACAAGCAGTATAAATGAACAAAGTGGTCAGATATTTAAGCATGTGGAGATTTTTAAAATTTTCATTTGCTAGAGGGTGCATGTGCTCACCAGAGAGAGAGAAAAAAGTAAAGTGAGAAAGCAACCCCTAGAGAGGATGGTCAACCACAATCCCTTCTCTTCCATTTTTCCCTTTAGGATTTTGGGTACACATGCACATGTGCCCAGGATGTTTTTTCAAGCCACAGGGTCTGGGACTTGAGCCATGCAGATGGCTATGTGTGATTTAGCTGCCTTAACCATCATGCCTAGCTGGCCCAAAGCGGGTGGGGATTTTAATCATCTCTACTAGGATATCTTCAAAGAGGCCTTCTCAGCCTACCCTTTATTTTCCATGTCTGAGAAAGATACAGAGAAACCTTCTCTTCAACCATGAACAGCAGTGCACAAATGACGATTAAGAGCATGGTCTCTATGCCCTGGTGTCCAGGAGATGACAGGAAGCAGGGAAACTGTTTATGTGGGGGGAGGGCATGGCTAGCACATGACTAGCTGCAGCCAAATGCTCTCCTGAGAAACCACAGGCCCAGGCTTGCCACAGCTTCAGAGTTTTCAAAGAAAGCTGGAAACCTGACTTTTTATGTGAAATCTCAATTAAAAAAAAAAATTGTCGAAGTTATAATATTAATGGCCCAAGACTGACCCATAGCCTCCACCTTATAACCTTTGCTTTAACAGAATCATTGGGCAAGCAATAGGCATGCAGTGAACCTAGCAGTGAGGAAGACAACCTTCCCCTAACACACATAAATACAAACAACGAAACCTGATGCTAGAGCTCCATGGATGCAACACGGGGAGACAAACAAGGACTGCCCTTGTCTTAGAATCAGAGGAAAGGCCACATCCCTTTGGGGGCTAATTACTAGTATCCCAAAAACTTGATTTTGGGACCAGCCAAGTGGTGTGGTGGTTAAGGCAGCTGGATCTCACAGAGACAACTGTGTGGTTCAAGACTCAGACCTGGCAGCTTCAAAATCATGCCAGGTGCATTTGCAGCATGGCTATCCCCTCAAGGGGTACTTTCTCACTCACTCTCTCTAGTGAGCACACATGCTCTATAACAAAGTAAAAACAAAAAGCAAAGAAAAACTTAGATTTTGAATTTTCAGTTTTAGGTTCTCCGATTAACCTAACCTATAGGGCAATCTTATTTTCCTCCCATTTCAAGTGTTCGTTCGTTCCTCACTACCACCGCAAACTGTTCAGGTCAGACATTATTGAGGTATTTATTAAGCATGGAACAGCATCTCCTCCTCACTTCCCTCCTCCTGCACCCACTTTATCTCTACCTCTACTCCTGCAGGGCCCGAAAGTGAAGCAAGACATTAACTGCTTTTCTCCCAGAGCCGATGCACCTCCTTCTCAAGTCTGTCACTGTTATTTCAATACAAAACTACTGAGGACAAAATTACAAGCTTGATTATAGAAGTAAATCTACATGCCGAGATACAGCACTCTGTATCGACTTTGATAGCAGGTCCTCGAGCAAACCCAGGGAGAAAATGAAAGTCAGTCAAGAGCAAGAATTTAAATGAACTGAGCACTTTCTCATTCTGGAAAATGAAGTAAAATCCATTTGTTTCAAGTTCATAATAGGTAGTGGGTTGCAATCCATGAATTGACACCCAACGAGTGCCCCAAGGTACAGATCGTGTGAGCCCAGCATAAGGAAGCCCCGAGCAGCTCACCAGCTCTTCCCTCAGCACTCCCAGCGTCTCTATCCGGTTATTCCGCGCGCTCAGCATAGCTGAAAGCTTCTCCATCAGGACGTCGTATTTGCTCCTCCTGCAACAAATGCCCAAGGGTTCATTTTGCAAACCTACTGCAGAAGACAGACTGCTTTTTAAAGATGTAAAGGACAGAGACCAGCAGTTGGCATAATGGCTATGTCGCTGGACCCCCATGTAGCCGACCACGGTTCAAATCCCGGGCCCGATGGATTAGACTCACACCGTGTCCATGCGTGCCCAAGATCCCAAGAGGAGAAGGGAGAAGGGATTGCAGCATGGCCCCTGGCAAGCACACACACCTTGTAACAAAAACCTCTCCAAAAAGAAAAAAATGATGTTACGGGCAAAAATAACACCATAGCAGACTACAGGACCTTGGTCTTATGTCTCAAAGATCATTCAATCTGACTTCTGCATTTTATAGCTGGAGACAATGGCTGTCAACAGTTCGGATACAAGACCAAGGCCTTCAAACCAGTGGTAGTGTACAGACTAGGGCCAAAACTTTAATGAAATGATTCTTGATAATGTCTTACACTTTTATAATACCTTACAGTTTAGGAAGTACTATATGTATTGCCTTGTAAATCACCTAGTGAAGGAGGACAGGGATTATTTCACAAAGAAATGAAAAGATTTTCTGGGTTCAGGCCCAAGATGTAAATCTAAGTCTTCTTCCACTAAACCCAGTATTCTCTTTGCTACATTCTGATTCCTCTCTGTTCTGAAGCCCTGGTTTCTTTTTTTAGAACTTTATTTATTTACTTATTTTAATTTGACCAGAGAGGGAGGGGGAGGTGGGAGGGAG